TAGTTTTTCTCTGACTAGGGAAACTGCTCTGGGTAGACAGGGGAACTTGGTGGGGAATTCTTCCCGGACTCAGGGGTTGGACCGTTAGTTCACTCCTTATTAGGCTTTGTCTTCTCTGGGCAGAGTAGGAGTCTTGTTTACCCAGGGTTGTAAGCCAATTCACTGAAGGACAAATTGTGGAATTTTCTAAAGCTATACAAATTTACATAAATTACAATTTCCCCCTATTAACATACATTTAAAAATATATTCTCAATTTGTGCTAACTAGACTGGTAGCCTATGAAGGTCTGGAGGGCCAGGGTTTTAGGGTTGTGGGCCTTTCGGCATTTACCCTTCTCTCTTTGCCCCTTGGCTGCCCTGTTCTGAAGAGGTCAGCCTGGACTAACTCACGTCTCTCCCTTTCCCTCAGGAGAGGGTCCCTTCTTTTGGCCCAGTTTTATCCAGCTAGAGTTGCAGGGAGCTGGGACAGAGACACGGTGAACGTTTTTCTAATGTGTTAAAGATTTGATCAGGCCAAAAATAAGATTTTTAAAATTTTCACTGTAACTGGAGTTGTATGCATTGTCTGTGGCTGACAATGACCTTTACTATATAATTGAATAAATGACCCCAATACTAAATGCTTCAAGGGGGTAGAAATGTTGCTATAAAGACAAAATAGAAACCAGTCAATTAAAACTTGGCGAAATTCTTCAAAAACTTAAAAAAAAATTTTTTTTAAATTCACTTTAGAGAGGGGGTAAGGAAGGGAGAGACGGAGAGAGAGAAAGAGAGAGATTTGCTGTTCCACTTATTTAAGCATTCATTGGTTGATTTTTGTGTGTGCCCTGACCTGACCTGGGATCAATCCCATAACCTTGGCATATAGGACAATGCTCCAACCAACTGAGCTACCCGGCCATGGCCTTCAAAAGCTTTTAAAAATCAACGTATTCAATATGAACTGCTATAAGCTTTATTAAAACAAAGAAAAAAGAAAAGAAGGAATTTCAGGAAATCAGTAAATTGGGTCAAGTCAGTGAATTGAACATTTGGCACAATTGGCAAAAGATTTTTTTTAAGGGTTGAGCTCTTTATTTATATTTTTTAACCCTCATCCAAGGATATGTTTACTGATTTTAGAGAGAGGAAGAGAGAGAGAGAAAAACATCAATGTGTGAGAGAGAAGCATCGATAGGTTGCCCTCTCTACATGCCCTGATCAGGGATCAAACCTGAAACCTAGGTATGTTCCCCTGACTGGGATTTGAACCTACAACCTTTTGGTGTATGGGATGATGCTCCAACCAACTGAACCACCCGGCCAGAGCAGATACTTGCCTATTTTTTTAAAATGATTTTAGAAATGCTTTCCTATTTTCAAATCTAGAGAGAAGTGGTAACCATAGTGCAATACTCATATACCCTTCACCGAGATTCACAAATTATTAGTTTTGCTACATTGCTTTCTCTCTATATGGATAGGTAGCTGTAACTAAAACTATTTGTTGTTGGACAATCTGAGAGTAAGTTGCAGACATCCTGACTCCATAGAATATATCTCTAAGGATATTCTTGCTAAGGATAACCATGCTAAAATGATCAAATTTAGGAAATTTAACATCGATGCTATTCTATTCTCTAATGTATATAGTCCATATTAAAATTTTGCCAATTACTCTAATAAATAAATTATCCTTTATAGCAATATTTTTTTCCAATCTAGGATCCAATCCAGGTTCACATGTTGCATTTCTTTGTCCTGTCTCTTTTGTCTCCTTTAATCTGAAAAAGTTGGTCTGCCTTTTTTAGTCTTTTATGATATATACATTTTTGAAGATTGAAGGCAGTTATTGCATAGATTGTCCTTCAATTTGGTTTTGTCTTATTGCTACTCTGTGATTAGATTTAGGTTATTCACTTTGTCAAGGATGAGTGATATTGTATCCTTGGTCAGTACTTAACATCAGGAGGCACATGGTATCTTTTTGTTAAGGTGATATTCACCAGATTTCTCCATTGTAAAGGTACCCCTTTTTCCCATTTATAAGTAATCTGTGGAAAGATAGTATGAGACTATGTAAATATCCTGTTTCAGGTTTCACTAATGGCTTTAGCATCTATTAATGATTCTTGCCTGAATCAACTATTACTACGTTGGCTATAAAATAATGGTTTTCTAATTCAATCGTTCCTCTACTTTCATTAGCTGACATTCTACTGTAAAAAACAAAAAAGATTTCCCTCCCCCCATTTCTTCCTTCCTTTTTCTATTTATTTATTTATTTGCATACTTATTTATATATACACGTAAGTTTCCATAGAAATTCAGACTCATTTTGCATTAAAAATTCTCTTCTGAAAAGCAAAGGGGTGAAGAGTGTAAAAGTTGTACTTATGCTTGAGAAGAATGTAGCTTTATATAATTATCACGAGTGAACTCATTTTGATGCTCAAATTGTTTTTGACTTGGCCAGTGGGAAACATCCCTTAGTTTTAAAAATTTGAATATTTTCCAAAATGCTGCTAAGAATAATTTTAGTGAATAAAAAGAACATATTCAAGACTATAATTGATATTTGTTGCTATATTCAAGAAGACTATTTCTTAAAACCAAGCTTTTAAAAATTTGTTACTTGAATTACTGATTCTTGAGTGAAATTGGCTTTTTGCTATGGTTCTTTAGGACCTACTACTGTTTATATAAAAATAGCATCCTGGTAATCATGAAAACAAAGTTGATCAAGATCAAATAAACTTCTTCAGGGTTTTTGATTTTTATTTTTCCTCACTTGAGGATATTTCTTCCATTGATTTTCAGAGAGAGCAGGAGAGAGAGAGAGAGAAACATCAATGTGAGAGAGACACATCAGTCGGTTGCCTTCTGCATGGGCCCCCACCAGGGGCAGAGACTGAGCCTGCAACTGAGGTACGTGCCCTTGGCCTGAATCAAACCCCAGGACCCTTTAGTCTGAGGGCCAGCACTCTAACCACTGAGCCAAACCAGCTAGGGCAGGCTTTTTGACTTTTAAAATATTAATTCACCAAGCAGTTGCTAAGTAAGGCCATTTCATTTATTGAATCCTTATGCTAGATATTTTTGCAAAGTTGACATTTTTTTCATTTGGACTTAAGATGCACAAAATTGGATTAATCAGAATCCTTTGTTTTCTGACATACTATCATCATTTTCCATGCATGGCCATTTTTCACATGGTTAGTTATTTTAAATAACATAATTAGTTATGATTTCATAAATAATTATTTTATTTTTAATTGATTTTAGAGAGAGGAAGGGAGAGAGGGAGAGAGAGAAACATCATGGGTTGATTCCCTTAATCACCCCCACAGGGGATTGAACCCAAAAACCTGGGTATGTGCCCTGACCAGGAATTGAGCCCACCACCTTTTGGTGTACAGGACGACAGTCCAACTAACTGAGCCACACTGGACAGGGCACTAATTAGTTATTTTAAAAGCTGTGCACCTAAAACCCCACCATTCAAAACAAAAGCTAGAACAGACAATAACCCTATTACCTCACAATTCCACTTCTAGGTATATACCCAAGAGAAACCCTTGTTTATATACAAGAGGAGGCATGTAAAAGAATAGTGATAGCAGCACTGTTTATAATAGCAAAAACCTGGAAACAACCCAAATGCCTATCAGTGAAAGATAGCGTGAATAAACTGGTGTATGCACACAGTGGACTATTATACAGCAGTCAAAATTAATGAACCATAGTGACACACAACGAGTAAATCTTATTAATGTTGTATTAAAGAAAAAAGGCAGTCCCCAAAGAATAAATTCAGCTTAGTACCCTTCATATAATGTTAAAACACACAAATTTGATAAACAATACTTTTTAGGAATATAGATAGATGCAAAGAAACTATATAAAAAGGGAAACAGCGGAATCATAAACAAGGGTTTTAGAATATGGCTAGCTGGGGTGAGGGAAAACAGAGGGATGTGTTGGGGTGGAGGTTGAACACATGGCTAATGTAGGTTATTGTCATGTTTATTAACTGAGTGCTTTAAAGAAAATACATGTAAACCCAGACTTGGACATATGAGGAAAATCCTGTTTTCCAAAACTTTTACTGCAATTTTATTTCCAGATACAGCTGACTGATCTTTCATGTTAAGATCATTTGAGATTATACTGTATTAAAAAAATGAAGTTCATACTTTTATAGAAACAAACAGAAGGGAGTGAAATCCCAGTGACTAAAATGACCCCTTTCTTTAAAAATATAACTCTTTACTAGGAAAATTTGAGAAAGTTTGAACAGAGTATTTTTTTATATAAATGGAAGTTGTAAATCATAATTTGCATTAAAAGCCTCTTTCATTTCACTTTTAACTCAGGAAAAAAGTTATCTCAGGTTTCAAAGTTCCTCAAAGTCATACATTATTTTTAATAGAGTAGCTAGTTTTTCATGTTAACCTAAATCCCTCCCTTAGAGAGCAGTGCCATGCTGCACTCTCCACTTTCTCTTCTTCTCCTAACTCATACACATCCTGAAAAACTGCTCTGACATCAGTTGTCCAGGAAACCTTCCCCCAAAGCCTCTCCCTCCTGCTTTTCCTTTATGATCCCAAAGTAACCTGCGCCCTTCTGAGTTTGTGAGCTCTTCATTAAAATGCTTGAAGTCCCCCCAAACTACTAGCAAGTGTTAAACCAGTGTAGGCTGAAGTGGGGAGAACCACAATTTGTTTAAGACCAGCGTTAGTTCCTCCTCTAGACCTCTGACGGAGTCCGGTCCCCAGAGTGAAAAGTGCCAGCAGCGTGTAAGGAAGGGCCCACCTCAGCAGGGGCGCTTGAGACCGGAGCTGGTGGGCGTTTCAGCCGCGTGCACGCCCGCAAGCTCGCCGTCAGGGCCCGCACTCTGACAGGAGCGCGGCCTCGGATTGGATAGAACGGTGCATTCTGGGAGCGGCCGGGCCTTTGGCAGTGCTTTCTGGGAGTTGTAGTTTTGGGAGCCGGAAGTGGGGGTGGCAGGGCTAGAAACCGCAGCTGAGGCAGCATTCACCACCGCTGCTGTCACCCGGGTGTGGTGCATCACTCTGAGCCCACCCGCCCTGGGTGCCCCCTCTGTTCCTGGGTGGAGGGGGCTCCGGGAGCCCTGAAGGGCGAAGCGGCAGGGACGCCTCTCTTCAGAGAGGAGGCGATGTCGCAGCCCGGGATGGGGCCAGAGCGCGCGGGAATGGAGCTTGGCGACTGCGAGGAGCGTCCGCCGGAGGAGAGCAGGTGGGCTGGGAAGGGGCCGGGGAGTCGGGGGCGGATGAGTGCACTGAACCACCGGGAGGCTCGGGAGCCTCGGAGAGCGTGCGGAGGCGTGCTGGGTGCAACAGACAGGAGGGCAACTGTTGTGGGTGACTTGTTTGGGAAGAAATTCTGAGAGGAGAGACGGGCAGGGCGTGGATAGGACGGAGGAGGGAACCGGCTTACAGAGGGTGAGGGAGGGTGGATGGGATATGTTGAGGCCAGGGGGAGCCGAAGTGGGTGCTGGAGAAGAGGTGAATATTGAGAGGTGCTGTAGTGAGGTTTTACAGGCCAGAGTCTATAGATAGGAGTCGGGCACAGGATTGGTGCCCTGACTGAAACTTGCGGTGACAGCAAGCAAATCGGGCCAACATTACGAAGGTTGACGTTATGAAAATGTCTGGGAGCAAAGGTTAGGCATTATAAGTGGCCTAGGAAGAAGCTTAGGCAGCGATGAGTGTGAGGAAGAAGGCGAGAAGGAGGGCCCGTGGACGAACGTGGGCCATTGTAACGGCAGTGGTGCTGGGTGGGTGCTTGCTAATGAGGCTAGAATTGCTGCGAGCCCTTTGTCAGTGCTGGGTCCCTGTCAGAGAGTGGCAGGACCTCTCTGGCATTTCCTTCTCAGTTTCAGGCCCTTCACTCCTTCCTCACAATGCAAAAAGCGATTGCACATTTATTTACATGGAACTATTGTCGAGCTCATAGTTTCTAGAAATTAGAGGATTTAAGATTTTTAAAACTATTTTATTTATTTTTTAAATCCTCATTCGAGGACATGTTTATGGATTTTAGAGAGAGGAAGAGAGAGAGAAAGAGAGAGAGAAAACTTTGACGTGAGAGAAAAACATTGTTTCTCTCCTATGCACCCCAACCAGGGACCAAACCCCCAACCTGGGTAGGTGCCCTGTCTAGGGAATCGAAACCACAGCCTTTCAGTGCGTGATGATGCTCCAGCCAACTGAGCCACACTGGCAAGGGCAAAAGCTACTTTAAATGGCGACTTATGTAGAGGTGTTTCCCATATTTACGGTTTGCTTCATTAACCCTGATCTTAACCTCTTAAGAATCAGCAATGGTGGCGGATAGAGCAAGAATGTGGCTTAAGGGAACCTTGTTTGACTTTTAAAAACATTCAGATACAGTTATGGTTTTAGGAGCAGCTGGGGTCCAAAGACTGGAGATAGAATATTTATCTCTGAGAAAAATGTCAATAAGGGAAAATTAATGAGAGATGCCTGGGTGAAGACCTGGCTGGTTTAAAGGCTGATGACTCTTTTATGTGCAGTTTAGCCTATCATCTGCTGTACAAAACCTGGACTGACAGGACGTTGGGGCTCTTGCCTGAGATCTATGAATGATGTGTTAGTGAAACTGAACATCTTACTTCCCTTTTCCATGTTTCAGTTTCTGCCTGTGTATATTTGGTTATCTATTCTTCCTCCAGATGTCTGTGAAATGCTTCATGTAAGAGATCCCATATAAATTCAAAACAACTCTTAGGGTTATTTTCATTTTCCTTCTACAAGTTTATGTGGGAGAGACTGGGTTCGAAATTCAAGTTCAAATTTTCTCCCCATAGCCAAACATCTAGCTGGGTTAGTTATTTACTTAATATATTTAACAAATACTTATTTACCACATGCCAGGACTGCTTAGGAGTCTTACAAGTAAACTTATTTAATCCTCATAACAAGCGGATGAGATAGATACTCTTTTACCACCATTTAACAGATTAGAATATGGAGCCATAGGATAAATAACTTGCCAAGGTCATATAGTGACTCCCTGATGGAACTGGGATTCAAACCCAGGCAATTTGGCTCCAGAGTCTGCACTTTTAATTCCCATGCTATGCTGCCTTTCACTTTGCTAATGTATAGTGAGAAAAAGTGTATAAGATAGCGAGCTTTATAGCATTCTTTGCCTGTCATTCAGGCCAGTAGGATAGCTCCTTTGTAGGTATCTTTTTCTGTTAGTCTTTCTGTGCTTGACTGTTTATTTTTCAATTACAGTTGACATTCAATATTATTTTATATTAGTTTCATGTGTACAGCATAGTGGTCAGACAATATATAATTTACAAAGTGATCCCTCTGATAATTCTGGTACCCACTAGACATCATACATAGTTATTACAATATTATTGACTATATTCCCTATGCTGTACTTAAACCCCCATGACTATTTTGTAACTACCACTTTGTATTTCTTAATCCCTTCACCTTTTTCACACAGTCCCCCAAACTCCCTCCCATCTGGCAACCCTCAGTTTGTTCTCTGTGTCTATGAATCTGTTTCTGTTTTGTTTGTTCGTCCATGCTTGACTCTTAACCAAGGAACTCTAGTCAAAACTTAACTTCAGCAATGGGGTTATCACCATAAAGCTACTCATATTGTTGCTATAGCCTACTCTCTGTTGGTGGTTGGTTAACTCAGAATGTGTTGTTTAGTGAGGCTTCATGGAATTTATGGCTTCCTAAGTTCCAGATAGATAACTGGTAAATGCATGCCTTGTGCCTGAGAATTGAGGCATTGTGGCTGCGTTACTGCAAACCTAACCTGTCTATGGCCAATAAAACACCTGATTCACAAAAAATCTTCTTGATGAGATGGCATCATTTTCTTTATATATGAAGGATACAGCTTTTCAATATATTTTCTATCCTTTTTTTTTCCAAACTGTATCTTTATTAAAGATACTTTTCATAAACAATCATGGTATTTCAGGCAGGACATGGGCAGACAATCGTTAACAGTATACAACAACTTTCAAACTCCCTTCTTCAATGAACTACCAAAATCAGAAAGCCACTATTAAACCCAATGAAGTCTTCATCTGATGCTCTGAACAGGGAAAGTTTAGAGTGAGGGTTGACATTTCACATTAAGCATGTTGTTTAACAACTTTTCACAAGCCGACCCTGACTTTCAGGAAATGAAATGAAAAATGGCAGAATTATCAACCTGTAGATCCACAATCCAGAAAAGGAACTGCTGTTCTTTTGAGGGATGCCATCTCAATGGTGACACTGGAAAGTACAGATTGCCCAGTGTAACCAGTTCTTTTGGGTGAGGCCCCAATAGGAAGCCAAAGTCTATGCTTAAAGTGGAGAGGGAGAAAAGGACATGAAAATGAATTTTAGGTTTCCCACACCACAAGGTATTTGTGCCAGGATGGCTAATGCATGTCAACATCAAGGGACCCCTCCTCCCAGGAGCCAAGAGGAAGTCTCTCAAAACTAGAAGGGAAAGGTGTTTTTTTCCTCCACTTCAGTCCAGCTTTGTAGACATTCTATTAGTACTGTATGTCCTTCCCCCCAAAAACAACAATGAAGTGTTCTGTGTGCTAACAACATAGCTTAAAAAAAAAAAAGTAAAACAGAATTCTGCATTTTTATAAAATTTGATAAAAAATAGTATTTCAAACTGTACAGTCACCAGAATACAGTTATCAAAAATGCATACACTTCACTTGGCGTCTCCAGCACCTTCAGCTTTCAGTGCCTGGTCTGTTTCGGCTTTTCCATTTTCTGCAGGGTTATTCCCATCCTTGCAAGCATCAGTTTTCCCCTTTTTCCCTTTGAGTATCTTCTCTCCCTTCTTTGCAGGGGCCTTTTTAGGCTTGGGCTCGGCTTTGGAGGAGCAGGCTTAGCCGATAACCTGGCTGATCTTCTCTGTGGCTCGTCCTTTACCTTGGCTTTATCTCCTTTAGCATCCCCTTCAGCCTTTCTATTGAGCATGATGGCAGTGGTGGCCGGACATCCGGGCTGGACGCGGGGATGCAGCAGCATGTGGCCTTTGGTCAGTATGGGAGTCATTCTTGCCTCTTCACACTGCTCTCAATATGTTTTCTGAAAGCAGTTGATGTAGTGAAATGCGCTTAAGCTTTATAGTGAGATAGACCTGCATTTGAATCCTTGTTCTGCTGCTTAACTTGGCTCATCCTGTCCGAGTAGGAAGAATCATGCCTTCCTGACTGGTAAGTTCTGAGGCTTCGGTAAGATAATGTGCGTAAAGTTCCTCACAGAGTGCCTGATATGTAATGTACTAAATGCAAAAAAATGACAACTTTTGTCCCCTCCCCAGTTTTCTTGAAATAAGGCATGTGTGTGCTCTTTTGGTTGCTCTATGCGATGGTATAGCCTGTTCTTCCATGGCTTCTCTCAGTTGGGTGCACTGAGGACTAGCTTTTAGTTGGGTGTTGGGTGTTGGCCTAACTTTTAACTTCATCCTTGGAGTGCAGTTATGTCCCCTATTGTTTTCCAGCCAGCTAGTTACCACTCTAGCAAAATGCTATAGTGCTTAGGGATGATACTTCACTTTCCTTAGGGTTTCCTAAATGCCAATTTTGAGGTTTTTGTTTGTTTGGAGCTTTTTTAAGATTTTCTGGTGAAAGTACTAAACCATTAAAGGAATGGTTCTTCTAGCATTGCTTTGTTACCCTAGACTGCCTTGGGCTATGAAGTCTACTTCTGAGTTTGGAACCCAGCTACATGCACAGTTCTCCTGGTACAGTGATTTAGAGAGTCAGAATTCAAGTATTAAGATACTTTTTAGTGTCTCCAAATTGAGCTCATTCCATTGACCAAAATCTTTTTCTCTTCTGTTCTCTATCTTTAGTTAATAGAATTTTCCACTCAATCAACCAAGCCAGAAGCCTCAGTGAAATATGATTCTTCCCTCTTCATTTTCTATATCCAAGCAGTCACCAGGCACTCTAAATTCTGTTCCTGATTTTTATCGTGAAGCTTTATTATTTTTTTCATTTCCAAATATATTGGCTTATATTAATGGAAAAATCCAAAGAGTAGTATTGTTTCAGGAATGGCCAAATGTAGCTGTGTGCTTAAACAAAAATTTGTCCCTATCTATGTGCTTCATTCTCAGGCAGACTTTTCTACAGGGCAACCCTCAGCAAATTGAAGTTTAATAATCCCAACTAAAAAAATAAGAAAGAAAGAATGCAGTCTCGATAGGTATAGCAA